CCATTCGCGACAGGAGTGAAATCGTTCCTGCACCCAAATCTTGCCATGAGGGTTGTAATCGACGCCCCAATCTGCCCGAGCGCTAGTGGTGTATACCAAGTACGCTTCGCAATCTCCTGAGACGGACTTTCTAAGAACAAACGTAGAAGGCCAGACGATAGAGTGGCAGGTGCTCGATACTGAGGAGTGTGCAAGGACCAGGCGCTACCCCCATCAGGATAGGCGGGGCATGCGCTGGCCATTCTCTACACACCATTTAGCTTAGACGCGAACGACCCTGGCAGACCGGTGAATTTGGCCCCAAGGCAGAGTGCCGGTCGCAGCGCCGAAACTCGAAATCGAGGCGATAGTAGGGAGATGTCTTGGCCGCTCTTCCCTTCCTAAGCTCCGTGTTGCGTCCGCATGTCGCGTGCCTTCACCGCCCGAAATTTTCGTAGTCGTGGCATAACGGGGATGAAACTGTTGAGTTCGCGTAGCTGTAATACAGCTGCGAGGGCTGCTGAGAGTCGAGGCGTAGTCCGAAATTATTGGGTGCCTGGGCGCGTAGTTGACGCCTCCGCATATGCGCGACGTAGACACCCCACGGCCTTATTCGAGTGACGTAGGCAACGCACCGGCAGCCTGGTGAGTCGATGGAAGGATAGAAGCCAAACTGGAAATACGCGGATCGGACGTGATGATGGCTCCACAGTCGATGGAGGTGCTGTGGTGTTTGGGGTGGGGAACCGCGACGTTTTCGTGATGCGCTACTGCATCGGAACTTGCCGCTGCCAAACATCGCATGGGGGGCGCGGGGAAACCGAGACCGCCGTTGAGAATTATCGGGAGCCTGCAATAGCCGCAAACCTCAATTTCTTCACAACATTGGTATTTACGGTTCCTGAAAACACTTATCGGAACGATCACGACGCGATGAACGGCACGAAGGGTGCCAATGGCACATCAACAGGCCCCAAGCTTCTCTGGAAGCACCCCTCGCCCGAGACGACACCCATGTACCAGTTCTTGCAGTCAGTGAACAAGACACACAACCTGCAACTATCCGACTACTCGCAACTACACAAATGGAGTACCGGCAGCATCAACGAATTCTGGCAAAGAACGTGGGAATTCGTGGGTGTCCGACACCAGGGAGCCTTCACATCAGTCAGTCATCGTAGATCCATCCATGTAGCCTCTACTTACAGACGATAGGCCGTGGATGAAGAATTGCCCATGTTTCCCCGTCCGGCTTTCTTCCCGGGAGCGACATTGAACTTCGCTGAGAACCTCCTCTTCCCGACCGCCGAAGTCAACCCCGAATCACCCGCCGTCATCGCCGCTACAGAGACTACACGCGAAACAGTGACATGGAAGCAGCTCAGGGATAGAGTGAAGCTATGTCAGGCCGGCATGATACATTTGGGTCTCAAAGAAGGCGACCGAGTAGCTGGCTATGTTGCGAACCACACCAACGCGTTGGTAGCAATGTTGGCCGCGTCGTCGCTGGGAGCGGTATGGACCGCAGTAAGCCCAGACACTGGCGTCCATGCCGTTCTCGATCGACTGCGCCAGATTGAGCCAACCCTGCTCTTTGCAGACAACGCGGCCTTCTATAATGGTCGGAGTCATCCAGTACTTCCCAAGGTCACTGAAATCGTCAGGGATCTCCCATCGCTCGAAGCCGTCATCATCTTTCCTACTGTGGCTTCAGTAGAATTCGACGTCACCTCTATCCCGGTACAATCTGGCAAAGCCTACGACTACGCAACATTCACATCACTGAAGGTTACGTCCGAACTCACCTTCAAGCAATTGCCGCCAGATCATCCAGTTTATATCCTTTACTCGAGTGGCACGACAGGTGCACCCAAATGTATCGTTCATGGGGCCATTGGTACGCTACTCCAACACAAAAAGGAACACATCATTCACTGCTCGATAAAACCTGGCTCACGACTCTTTTACTTTACCACATGTACTTGGATGATGTGGCATTGGCTGGTCAGCGGGCTCGCCTCGGGCGCTACATTAGTACTTTATGACGGTTCTCCGTTCCGGTATGTAGACAGTTCCGACTCATCGACATCTGTTCCAGACGACCTAGCAATGCATCGTCTGATAGACGAGTTTGACATCACGCACTTCGGCACGTCCGCAAAGTACCTTTCTATTCTGGAGCAGAAGTCGATCGACCCATCAGCTGCGGGACTCACGATGAATAAGCTTGAAGCAATCTACTCGACAGGATCGCCACTCGCTCCTTCCACGTTTTCTTACGTCTATTCCGCCTTCCCTTCAACCATCAATCTCGGCAGCATCACTGGTGGTACTGACATCATCTCACTCTTTGGTGCACCCAACCCACTTCTACCCGTCTATGAAGGCGAAATCCAAGGCGCCGGTCTAGGCATGGCAATCGCTGCGTATGACTACACAGGTGCCGATGTCTCGATGTCAGGCGAACCAGGAGACCTAGTTTGCACCAAGCCCTTTATCTGTCAGCCAGTAGCATTTTGGGGCCCCGAAGGGGAGTCAAAGTACCGGAAGTCGTACTTTGACAAATTCACAAATGAGAAGAATCAGCCGATCTGGCATCACGGCGATTTCGTGCGATTCAATCCCGAAACTGGTGGGCTGTGGATGCTTGGACGCAGCGACGGCATACTCAAACCTGCGGGCGTACGCTTCGGATCGGCCGAGATATACAACGTGGTGCTTGAGCATTTTCCCGAAGACGTCGCGGACGCGCTTTGCATCGGTCGAAGGAGAGAGACTGATACGGATGAGACCGTCGTGCTCTTTCTGAAGATGGCAGAGGGTCGCCAGATCTCTGCCGATCTCGTTGGAAGGATCAAGACAACGATCAAGCAAGCGCTTAGCGCACGTCATGTTCCAGCTGTAGTGGATGAGTGTCCAGAGATACCTGTCACTACCAACGGCAAAAAGGTTGAAGGCGCTGTCAAGCAGATCCTTTGCGGACTCAATGTCAAGACGAGCGCGAGTGTTGCCAACGCCGAATGCCTGGACTTTTACCGAGAGTGGGCGAGGACCCATTGAGCACTCAGTTCGGAGCTTTGCGCGAAACTTTAGATAGTACGACCTACTCCGTCCTCTCCCCAGTGTGAAAGCCCATTCAGATGAGGCTCACGAGTCAGACACCTAGCTTGAGCCATGTCTTGGGGTCTCAGACTAGCAAGCCCCACTTTAGCTGCAACCAGACCATCCCGTCACACGTCAGGAGCTGGGACATGAGCTTAATTCCACGACATTGCAAGGAGCGAGTAAGACAGTGGTGGTACTGGGTTCTATCACAGTGGACATCTCGTAGATTTTCAACCACTGAGGAGCTCACGCTTCCATCTGCTCTTGCCGATCATTCCTTGCCCGCCAACATTACTACCTTCTGCTCACAACCGCTGCCGCATCCTTTAGAAGCTCGCAGCAAGCATCTCGTCAACCTTCGTACACAACGCGTCAACGACACTGACACCAGCCTCAAACGTAGCCTTGACAACGCCCGTAGTACCCTCCGGATAGCGTGCAAGAACCGCAATCGCACCACCTGTTTTTGCCACTCCGTCTCCCGTCCAGCCTCTCATCGCCACGAAGATATCGGAGGCGTTGATCGTCTGCTCAGTGTTCGCAATGTTGTTGTGTGCGAGGAATGAGATATTCTCTGGCCACATGTCAATCAAGATGTTGAGCGTGAGATAGATGTGCCTTGAACGTACGAGCTAGAACGAGAATCCTGCGCTCGAGTTTGATAGCGCGATTGGTGGCGGCGACTTGATCGACAACAGTGTCGGGCGCTTCATAACATTCGTTGCGGAATGGGCGCATGAGATCGTAGATGCGCTGTTCAAGCGCGTTTGCGGGCTGGGGTGTGGACATTGGCAAGGAGGCTTGTTTGAGTTGACGTCGGGAGGTTGGTTATCGTCTACGGGTGTTTGTGGAAGGAGAGAGAAGTGTGGAAAATGGTAACTGCCAATGACGAGAACGCCAAGACACCGTGACTGCACTGAAGTTATAGACTGAAAGCTCGAATCTTCACCCTCACCGCTCATATAACTGCTTTAATATCTTCCTCCCTCCCTTCGCGGCTCTTCGCTCTAGTCCGATAGCACAGTGACTGCCTTCGCGCTTGCCCATCGCTCTCATTGTGGTTCCACCTTCACTTCGGGAAAGAAGTTCGCCAACGCCCTGTCACACTCCTCCGTCAAGATCTCGATCACGCTTTTCCCGTCTTCCTTCCTCGCCCAGCAGCGCATGACGGTGTGTGTATACCCGTTCCCATTGACGAAGATTCCCATTCCAGCTATCCCCCCGCCGCCTTTGATCATGGTAGACCAGTTGCGAGAGCCGACAGAGATATCGATAGGAACGATGATTTTGCCATACGAAGACTGGTTGTGGCGGATGATGAATGATATGTTCTCTGTGGGAAGGAGTCAGGTCTGACCAGAAGTGAAGTTGAAGCGGGTAGAATGTCTACGTACCACAAAGTATGAGAAGCACGCGTTCTTCTTCTATTGCCGGTGCGGTGTTGGGAGCATTCTTGTAGCACTCTTCGCGATAAGGCTGAAGGAGATCGTAGAGTCGCTGTTCAAGCGAATCAGTCGACATGATGAGGTGATTGGTCGCGGCTTGATTGGTATATTGCAAAGTCGGGAGGATAAAGTGGAGAGATTTGGACGTACGAGACTCCCATGTAGGCGGCAGAGTGGACCTGGAGTGTTAGCGCTAAGGACAAAGCCTGCGTCACTGTATAATCAGGTGTTGATAGTGAATTCTAGGTGGAAAATACAGGGTCGTGCGTGACTGCGGATTCATCTAAGAACTTTGACTTGTGTCCTAGTATCATCTTTGTGACGCGGATGTTGAAGGAAAGTCTGCTTTACAAGCTCAAGTCGACTAATTACAACCGCGGCCAATGCGAGGTTGTAGCGAATCTCCATGTGGCTGCTGTGCAAGCTTGTCACCTCACCTCTCTCGACTTACAGTCATCGAGCCCACAATCCCTAGTCCGTGGAGTCGCCATATCCATCATTCCCCTCGTCCCTCAGGATTTGTCTGACAACCTTATCCACCTTCTCTCCGAGTGCCTGCACAACATTCTGGCCCCATTTGACTTGCTCCCAGACTACAACTGTAAAGTCACCTGGGCCGTTGTGGATGCATACGGTTGCCTTGTGGCCGACTTCGCTATTATTGTGGCCGCGGACGTCGACGACAGTGATTGAGATCTGGGACGCGAGGATCTCGTGACCGCCAGTGTACTTGATCAGGAAGGTGATGTTGCCTGCATTTAGGCCGTCAGTTACTTCATGTCTTCATGGGAAAGAATTGGACTTGCCAGCAATGGTCTCGACGACGTTGGCAGGCAGACTGCCATTGAGCTGCTGTAAGGGATCGCGAACCATGGACGTCATTGTTGGGAGACGGTGTGTCGTCAATATTGTATGGTGGAGGAGACTGTAGGTGGGTGTGAACGAGAAGTGAAGCAAGCTACTTGGCCGGGTCAGTCGTTTCGACACTACTAAGCAAAAGTGGAGAGGGCACTCACCTTCACTTGCTCTCCCACATTGTCCTGGTCGTCCCGAAGCGGTAGGTAGTGCTAATTTGGTGGGTCAACGAAGATAAGAGCCCAGGGGTTAAGACAATGTTGGTATAGATTTCGTGTGGCGTCGTTATGATACCGATATAATGCTAAATCGCCTGTCGCAAGCATCCACCACCCCAAGCCAGCCCGCTGCTTCCTCTAATGCATGCCCAAGCGTGTACAGTTGGAAAGATACAATACCCAATGCTGATGATAATACACAATAGAGCCACCACATTACCCGCCAATGATACAGTAAAGATACATGCAATACCGAATAAACACCTTCCTGTCCCGCACGCCAGCGCCTGACCGCGGCGCGTTTTGCATCTACAATCCTCGTCACCTCCCTTCCTTGATCTTTACACAATCAGCAAACGCGGGAAAGTTGCCTCTGAAGCTTGGGCCCAGTGTCCAATTGTTCAGATCGCGGAGGTGCGTCTCAAAAGCGGGGTTGATGAGCCACTGATCGTCTTCCTTGGGTAGCGGACCCATTGATGTGATACCGGCGGAGGTATGCGCCGTAGGAGGTTGTGGGGTGGAAGGATCTTGCGGCGAGCCGGCGTTGACATGTGTAGAGAAAGGCGAAGAGACCGAGACAGAGGAGGTCGTCGAGAGCGCTGAGGTATGGACTTTCGAAGCAGGGAGGAGACAGTCGCGGGGCTCATAAGGCCAGTTCAAGGAAATGGTTGTCGTGAAGGGGATGAAGAAGTTCTCGAAGGATACTGGCGGGTGGCCAGCGACGAGTTTGTCGCGAAGGCGAGGCCTAGAATAGATCAGTCATCATGTGTCTTCAAACGAGTTAAGAAGCGGATATTAGTGCATACCATGGGAGATGATCGATCCATAACGCGTGAGCAGTGAACAGCTGAGAAGGTCGTGGCGTAGCCCAGTGTGGCAGCCGATCGTAGTTCTCCTGCGTCGGTTCGATCTGCCAACGCATGATCAGGAACATGATGAATACTATCGCAACCTGTTCCGGCCTGCCGCAGATGTCTGGAAACGTGCGCAAAATGTCTGTGAAGAGCTTTGACAGGGGGTGTGCATCTACTGCGCGCTCGGGATACGCTAGAGACGTGAAGTTGGGGTAGTGTGGTCCAACCAGGGTCTTCATGGGTACGCCCTCGGCAGCGCGATTCTGACGATCTTGCAGAAAGTCGAGCAGGATGACATCCAGAGGGCATGTCGCCGGAAGATTGCGAGGTAACGTGAGGTGGGCGACCATGCTCGGCGCATACATGGCATGTTGGCTACTACTGACGTTGCTGGGTCGCGGCTGCTGTGGAGGGGGAAGATTTGGATCGACAGCCCTCCTTTGCCCGTTGTCGAGTATGAAGTCTACGCCTAGACGCTCATCAAAGGGCATCTCTGACTGCAGATGGGGTGTTCGTGACTGGTCGAAATGCGGTCCGGGACTGCCATTGGAGTAGCGGCGCAAGTGGCTGTTTGGCGCGTCGTTGGGGTATAGCCATGCTCTTCCTCCCTCGGTCACGCTTGGAGAATGTACGCCGTTCTGAGGTGAGGCCGTGGATAGCTCGTGGGACGCGATGTGGTACTGTCGTGGTTCGGTAGGTTGCACAGGCGCGTCGCGCTGTTGGTGAGGGTGGATAGGAAGGGGCGATCGCTCGGCAGCAGCTGCCAGTTCTACCTGCTGTCAACATTCGTTCCTTCTTTGGGAGTAGTCATCGTACCATTGAGGCCACCCGTCGCGCGCACAATAGGCTGGATGATGCTCAGGACGCTCTCGAGCCTCTTCCTGATGTCTCCGTTCTCCGCTTGGACCGCCTCCTTCTCGCGGAGGACGACTTGCAGGTCATGGTACGGCTGCTGGCTCTCTAAATCCCGGATGCGCTGATTGAGGCGATCGATCTGGTTCTTCGTGCGCTCGCGGATGGCACGTTGAGCTTCGCGGTCGTTTGCGCGCTTGCGGGCAAGCTGTTCGGGGGTGAGGTTGGCGACGCCACGCGAGTTGGGGCCAGTCCTGCGCTTTTTGTTGGGCTGACCATCGCCCGAACCATCGTCTCTAGGGGCTCCTTCGGGCGTGTCTGCCTCCGCCGGCGACGCCATGCTGATCATGGATGCGTGTGGGTTGCGACTCAGGACAGAAATGGACAAATCCTACCTCGAGTCATGACCCTGACACTGCAGCTGCGATGAGTTTTGCCTACAGCAAGCTAAGCCGGAGCAGGCCTAGTGGATGATCGCCGCCCTGGTCGATCGCGGGGACAGCACGCGTGGGGGACGCGAACCTCGGGAATCTCGTCGGGTAACGCTCTCCGCACTTGCACGGCTCCCTGGAGTCTAGACTCGGACGCGCGCCATGGGGTAGCTAGTGTGCTGTGGGTGCTGGCAGCGTCTTGCTGCCATTGCAAGCACCATCACAACACAATGGCAGATCAGAATGTAAGCAAGCTGGGCATCGCTTCGGCGACGCTCAAAGCCAGTACGCGCCTGCATCATCAGGTCAAAAGCAAGCACTAACATCTCCGACAGTGGGTTCTGCACTGCAACGCTCCGTTACATCACCCTTCAAAGGCGAGAATGGCTCCAACACGTACTTCAAGGACATCATGTTCGCGATGTTCCGGACCAATCTGGGAAACCTCGACCTGGCGCAAGACCGGTACATGAACGGCGCATCATCGACGCCTACGTACCTTCAGCATGCCGAAAAGTACAAGTTCGTTCCAGATAGCATCAAGCTGCCTAGTGGAACACAAGCGCATTGGCTAGGTAGTAGGAGCGCGAAGAAGGTCTTTGTGTACTTCAATGGTCCGTCTCCGCTTTCCAAGATGAGGGGCATGTCACTGATATGAACAGGCGGTGGATATGTGATGCCATGCACACCAGGCCATATGCTGTGGCTCGACGACTTCCAAAAGTCTCTCGGTCCCGGCGTATCCGCGCTCCTCCTCGCGTACGATCTCGCACCAGAAGCCAGATATCCCAGCCAGCTGAAGCAGGCAGTCGAGCTGCTTCACCATCTCGTGCACGTCGAGGGGCGCAACCCTTCAGACCTGATTCTGGGCGGCGATTCGGCTGGCGGAAACCTTATACTCGGTCTGCTTTCGCACCTCGCACATCCACATCCCGAGGTTGCGCCGTTGGAGCTTCCATCCAAGATCCATGCCGCGCTTCTCATCTCGCCATGGTGCTCTTTGACACAGACCAACACGCCAGCGTTCGTCACGAACGCACAACGCGACATGTTTGACGCGCGAACCCTTTCCCGCTGGGCCACTGCCTTCCTCGGCTCCTCTTCTCCTTTCGCCGGCGACTTCTACAGCGAACCCGTTCTCGCAGCTCCGGAGTGGTGGGGCCCTGTTGCCGATTTTGTGGAAGAGGTTTTAATATGGGCGGGCGATAACGAGGTGTTGAAGGATGGCATTGAGGCGTTTGCACAGAAGTTCACGCAGGGCTTTGGCAGCAATGGTGGGCTGGTCACTACTGTCGTAACGCCAAAAGCGTGCCACGAAGAGATGGTTGTGGAGCGAATTTTGGGTTATAAGGGCGATTCGGGCACCGGAAGTCAAGAGGTGGTGCAAAGCTGGGTTAAGGCGAAGCTGTGATTGTTGAAAGCTCGGATATCATACATATGTACGAATGAAAGACATAAGCAATATGAGATGCGCGGCCGTCAAGACCACAATGCAGGTAGTCTAAACCTTGGAATGGTGCCATGAGTTGCCAAAGTGTCGTCTTCCTGGTTACGCTCGCCGGTAAGAATAAGAGGCAAGGACGACGATTGTAAACTGGGTGGAGTGCGCAAGATACAGATCCAATGTAAAATGGCCTGTGGGGTATACGAGAATACGAGCCCGCGGAGAGGCATCCGTACTAGCGCGATCGGGGCCTTCGGAGACCGACCGCGGGTGATTGTTACACCTACGCCATCAACGTCTTTCGTATAGCTCCTCGGATCTGAGGGGTCGGCGCCTCGGACGCAATTAGCTGTGTCGACATCTACGACGATCGCGTTTCCATGTTGCAATGTGGCTTCGTGGGCCTCGTGAGCACCATGAGGCTCGCCGCGGACCGGTCCTTGGTATCGTCGTGACCGCATCATTTGCCGCTGACCGACCCAAGCGAGGTACCTGGACAACTACGCAGGGCGTTTTCGTTATTTCGCCACGGATAATCACTCACAATCCTGTAGAAACTCCACTAGTGATCGGACGAAAAGCAACATGGACTGCACTTTCATGACGCGCATGATAGAGTGCAAGTGAGATGCGGCTTGGGTGTGTCACCACACGCGTCATATCACCATCCACACGTACATAAGCTGCTGTCTTCAGGTTCTCCATCGAAATCATTCAAATACCATTCGAATTCCATCCCAAAATGCCTTTCACCACACAGCTCCGCACTATTTCCCGACCCTTCATCCAACAATCACATCTCTTCAAACGAACTTCCATCAGAATGTCTTCCACCAATGAGCATGGCCAGGGTGCATCGCACGCCACTGGTCAGAGTGCCGTCCCCAAGAAGGTCCAGGAGGCTGCACCAAAGGGTCTCGAGGAGAGCCTCCCTGAAGGTGTAAGTTGATTATATCTACCTACCACGAAGTGAAGCATGTTAACATTGCCACAGGTCCACCCTACTGGCAGCAACCCCAACAGCCAGTCTACCAGCAAGACCCATGCTCTGAACGACGGCGAGGACTCAATCGTCCCCAAGAAGGTCCAAGAGATCGTTCCCGAGTCTGTCGAGCGAGGTAAAAGTTCTACATACAATGCAATAATGACGCGATTCTGACACACATGAAGCTCTTCCCAACTCGATCCACAACACCGGAGACCAGTAATCGCGTCTTACTACCTACCT